AGATTTTATTGATATTCTCTACTGCCAAGTGTACATCGTCGCCACGCGATTATTCGTTTAATATATACATGATAAAAGCAACTGAAGTGCCATATTTTCTTTTCAATTTGTAAGCACTTACAACGACAGCTGGGCGATTAAAATTGAAAGTTCCCGTTTTTTACTTTATACTATTTCGTTGTTTCGATAGATAGTGACTAACTGAAGATGGATTGGCTTCATCGATCAACGAAACACCGTACGAGTGTGACTAGAAAGTTGGTTAGTTGAAAAAATATATGTTTAATTGGTTTATAACGTAACGAGAATACATTTTAAAAGTGAGACACATGTATTTTCGTTATTGGCCGAAATGGTCACGTTCATATGCAAATCTGCATCTTCATTCGTCATTTAGGTGGTAGTCGGTCAATTATGATCAGATTCAAAATTTCATCATTTGAGACTCCTAAGTTACGACTGAAAATGTAGACGTTCGATTTGCATGTGGATGTGATACACTCTCGATCAATAATGATATACCTCTTCTTTGAAACTGAGTCACAATATGTGTTCCTGTTATAAACCAATCAGATTTCTATTCCTTCTATCAACTTTCCAAAATTCGTATGTTGATTTCTCGGTATTGGATATATTGTTGATATATATGTGTATCTCTTGCTATTCAGTTAGTCTTTAACGAAACGCCAAAGTGTAAAGTAAGATTTCTGTGAAGCACTAATGTGAAGCAAAACTTTTTCTCATTTTAATCGCCGGTTATTCTTACACGAAAGTGCTTATAAAAAAAAAAAAAAGAAAAAAATGAATACGTCAAAATTTGGAGAAGCTTTTCTAACGTTTATGTTGCGCGAATATATATTTGAGAAAAATGTATTCTTGGTAGCAGCGAAAGTCAAACTAAAGTTAAATTGTGATATAACTCCAGCAGCTGTTCGCGGATGGTTTCAGTTATTCAATTCGGAAGGTAAAATACTTCAACGTTGCAGTAAGTCTAAGGGTTACAAAATACAGTCGCAAAAATTAAATGCATGGTTCCATCCTACTGACACATTTCTCTCGTCTATGTGCAAAGAATTAATATCGTTTCGCAAAGATTTAAAATTGTTTTGCTATATTGAAAAAACACTGTATGATGAAATGTGGGTTTCGTATACTGAAAATGGTTATAAATTCGAACGTCGGTATGAAATTACAGAGAGTTTAGAGAATAAACAGTTTTTTGAAGTTTGGTGGGAAACAACAGGCAACGCTTCTTACATGTTCCCAAGTATAGAAAATATTACAATTGAAACATTTTGTTTCACAATTCAAAATTTACGTGTACATTCGTATTTATTTCAGAAGTCAATACACATAAAACACATTTTTCTCATAGATAGCAGAAATCCACTTTTTTCTGCAATACAATCAAATTTATGTAAAGATTATAACATTCTTGCATTGCCGCCGAATATTTCAGACATTGCGCCAATGAATCATCCCTTCGATAAATTATATAATCAATTTCAAGAATTTCTTAAAGAAAATAATTGTTCGAATCTAGGAATTATACCACTAGCATTTAGACAATTTTGTACTGAAAATTTAAATCTCTTTGATTCGGTATTTGATGATTTCTGTACCTGTTGCATACTGTATGAGAAACTGCATTAGCGAGAGACGTATGTATTCAGTATTAAAATAATTCTAACTGCAATTGTCTGTGTTAAGTATTTTAATTTTATTGTACGTTGTCCTTTCAGGCGTGAATTTATATGACGCCTCAAAAATTGTACAAATGAAGAAACTTGCCAATAAATCAGAAGAGAAAGGATATTTCTTTTGCCAATTTCATGTTCGAATGATTTCCAAAAATTATGTTTGTCTATTAAGTACGTGATAAATATGACAACTTACGGCAGTACGAGTGATGAATGATTGAAATGAATGGAGTCTGCTTCAGCATTATTTGCAAGAATGCAGAATACATGTAAAAATTAGTGGAATTAGAGGTTTAGCCATATATCGTGCAAAATTCATTTCCACGACTGTTTTCGTGGAAATGTATTAGATATATGTGATTTTAAAAATAAAGAATAAAAGTGTATTTTTATTGCCATCCTCTCGTTCATTTGCTTAAATAAATAAAATTTAGTTAATTTAGTTTATTAGTTAATGAAATTTGTTTCTATTTGAATTTAAATGAAGGAAAGACTTTTCGGTTTGTCGAAGCTCAAATAGCTTTCGCAAGAAACGAAAAAACCGTGGTCGAAGCATTCTTCGTCGAATCGCGAGGCGGTTATAACAATCGTAATTAAATACACAAAAACTTTCTAACTTAAGAAGTTACTCGGTAAATCCAAAATATTATGATTGAAGCCAACGGTTCGTATCATGGTTAATAACTTTTGTTGTCATTCCCGATCGACGTCCTTGTTCTGTTTAGCGTTTCTAAGAACGATTGTATCATCCACAATAATATTCGAATTTCGCTGCGCAAACTCTTCCGGATGAGGGCAATCGAACGGCCCGCCAACTTCAAATTCATTGGTTGCGACTTGCTAGTCAAAGTCTATAAAACAGTCCCAAGACAGATATACGTCAGAGAGAGAGTCGAAAAATACGCATAGATGTACGCAATTACGACAGAAATACAGCTGTAATCCACTTCTAATTTGGAATGGATCATTGATTAGGGGAAACGTTCCGTTTAACGTCTCCGTGCGACATTAAGTTCGAGTGCAGACAACTCGTTTGAGCCAGTCGCAACCGTAAGCGGACACGATTCAACGATAGTTCATCCTCGTAATAATCAACGTTTTGCGATCACGTAAATAGTTCAATTGTCTAAAATACGACCAATTAATTACATAGGTTAAAAAACAGATATTTGTGTTATCCAATTATACGAGTCATAATTAAATCAAACTGAACACGTATCATTGTCCAATATAATATAATATAATTATCTAGTGTAAATTGTGTAAAGTCAGCCGCGTAAATTGCATGCAAAGCATTTCATTGTTTTACAGATTATTATCAGCTCGCGTTCCCCTTTAATTATCCATTTAAAACCGGAAATTTACGTGTATCGTCCAACAGTTTTGTTCACCTAAGCGTAGAGGTGTTTTACGAAATCAATATTGTTTTCCTTTTTATTCGGTAATCGATTTAATTTATTAATTAATTTAATTTATACTCAAAGAATTGGATTCTCTTTAAATCGTGAAATTTTCCATTCCAAATAATTAAAATAAAACATTTTACAATCACGTGCGTATCATGATGGTATATATATATATTATTATATAATATAAACTGTTTATATGAAGAGTAAGGGGAAAAAACGAGGAATATTTTAGCAAATTTTTTTGTGACAACTAGAACCATAAAAGTATCGAACATAATTTATTACAACATCTAAACTATCTTCGTAAGATAAAGTTGAATATTTTATGTACTAGTACACTAAACTATTGAAATTCAATTTTCTCTAAAAAAATTATTTTGTAACATTCTCTGTTTCTTTCTCTCAACCTTCACAACGAGATCATTTATTGTTGCAAGATGTAAGAAATTACGTTATAAATGAACAGTCAAATAAATCTGATTCGATTGTCTGTATGATATAAACAATAGTCTTGCTTCTGTTATTACTTGTAATATTCAAATTACAAGAATTGTGTGTCAGTATGGTTTACGAAAAATTAGCTCGTCAAGGGTGCCAGAACCAATTCTTGGACGATCTGTTTTTCCAAAACACGATTCGGCTGGACTACTGCTAATTTCCAGCAACCTGGCAAACGTGTCCTGAGAATTCTCGATGACTGTGTACGACCAAAGTCTCACAGGAGTACCAGTATGCTTGCCAAGCACTTGGATAACGTCCTTCAGCAAATGCAAGCCCTACGAAGAGCCAGATGGTTCCTGTGTCCGGGATATGCAACTTCAAAGATGTTTAAGTACCTGGAAATTCCCCTTGGAAAATCAAATTTTGATGTTATTGATTTTGATCGATTTTCACCTGTTTTAAAAGTAAAAGAATATTCCCATTCAGAGTCATCGATTTTTGGACAGAAAGTTGGATGAAAAATTGTTAAGTCATTAGATCATTATTCTGGTGGTTTCTCTGAGCTAAACGAAATTAAAGCCATATGATGTTTTTATTTGAGAAAATAATTATTCAAATATGTTCCATCATCGATCTATAAAAAATAAGCGCAAAGATTCTTTTGACATATTTTCTTTGCGCAATTTCATTACAGGGATCGAATGAAACTGTTCAACTTTTCAATTAGTTATAAATTAATTGTAATTTTCCAACTATTGTCTTTTCTGCTACTAGGAAATGCAATGCATTCACTAAATCTTTTATTCCATGCTTCTTTGCGCAAATTTATTTTCTCGGTGGTAGAAAAAAATTCCATTTAAAGAGGAATGCTTGTTTTACTCTGAAAAAGAAAAATCGTGTAGATTTTCTACGAAATGTTACCTCCAAGATGTGAAGTTGGAACATAAATCATTCGGTGAATTTTTAAATATTTGTATACGAGGAAGAAAGTTACAATTGACAAATTGTTAATAAAATAAAACGATTATATAAAAATCGTGATTTATTTTCTTTACATTTTCTTTTATATCAGTATTTTTTCAGTATTCTAATCAGTATCTTAAGTTTTAAATTTAATGCTAATTAAAAAATATATTTTTAACTTTTATGTTTTACTCTAAAATTAGTACTTTTTTCAAAAGTACTTGACAATCCAAAACTTTTAATCAAATACAAAATAACTGTTAATATACGAAATTAACTTGAAACAGAAAAGAGATAATTTAAACATTAAATGTTCAATGAAAGTTAACAGTTTCATTTCGATCTCTGTCGAAAAGTTACCTTTTCCCCATCTTTTTTTACGAAATTTACAAGTATGTGTAATAAAATAAATATTCGTAAGTAATCATGTGTCTGTCGTAATAATGTATTAACCACATTCCTTTCTATTTTGTTACAGGTACGTGATTTCCATCTAAACTATTTACTATACAGTAATTCTTTGGGTGAGTGAATCATTTAACTACATATTTAATCGACAAAATTATCGTCATTTTAATAAAATAACAGTAGGATACTAAATCAGAAAATTTGCTCAGATTTATTAATTAAGCGTTGAATAAGTTTAAATAATTGAATAATTTTGAACAGAGAGTTCATTAAACTAGGTAGAATTGATTCAATTGTATTTCATTTTCTAAACTCTTCCGTGAAATTGTGGAAAAACTTTGTCTCTTTATCCCGGCGAAATATTTTTGCCAAAAAGGTGTCTTTGAAAGAAAATTGTTCGCGATCAAATCGAGTAATGCCACTTCATGCTTCATCCATGATTGTATAATGAATTCCACGTGGTAGACTGAAAGTCGTATAGTTTTGTTTGTCAAAATATTTGAGAATTTCGAATTTCGTAAATCTTCACGATAATCAAAATTCTTTTGAATGGCTGCTTTCATTCCTACGATCGACTTATTCTAGAAATTTTCATTCTATCTTTCGAACTTAATTTTTTTCTATAGAATCATTCTCTTCTCGGTTATATTGTGAGAACTAGGACACCCTGTGTATAAGGGTGGCTTCTTTGTAGCTGATTCAACGTTCGGCTCGATTTAATGCACCATAAAACGATCGTGGATATAGATTCTTTCTGAATTTCGCGATGGAGTCATACTTCACGGAAACGATGTCGTCACTAGCAGGATAAAAGCTCCTCTTCATTGTTCCGCTTCCATGGGGGTGATCAAATACTTCACCTGAGCAACGTCTTTGCGTCGATTCAACGAGAACTGTCATTTTTGTTCTGGCCATTCTTTTCGTTCGAGCCATTCGCCCAGAAATCGTTCAATGTTCGCAAAAAGAAAAAAAAAAGAAAAAAAAGATCGCAATGAATGAACGCTGCATTTGCACAGTCTTACCTTACAATTTCTTTTCTCAATTCTCAGTAAACGTTAGTCAGATATAAAATCACTGAAGTAATTACATATATATCTGTATTCACTAGTGTACAGTTCGAAGAATTAAAATTGAAGATTCAAATTCATGTTCCATAGGGCCACAATTCTAGTAGTAAACTTCGACCTTTAACTTATTTATTCTTTGCTCTTTAAAAATACGTAGATCTAAAGAAAAAAGAAACGATTTCTTCTCTAATTCTTCCATAACGAAGAGAAGAAATATATTGTTCTGTGTCGTTGGTTATCGAGAGTTTTGACCACTATGCCACCGTTTGAACGAGCCGTTTCAAATGATAATAAGGGATCGGAAGTCGAGGAAAGAGCAAAGAGAACCTGGCGAAAGAATTTTCCGAAAGAAATCACTAAGCTTGGCTCATGGTCGAGAAGTGAGAGAGAGAGGTGAAGAGCCGGTGGTCGCGTATCGCGAAGGTGTAGAACGTGGGACGAAGGTGGGAGAGGGCGTCCGCATAAACCGGATGTCCCCGGCTTCCCCAGGCGGCGTAATATCGTAAAGCCGATTTCAGTGGAAAAAGGGTGGCGTTGCTGGCCCGCTTATACCCTTCAACGACCGCCGTGTTTGTACGCGTGGCTGTGTAGGTGGAATAAATTTCGTGGCAACAATTCGACAATCCCGCTCCAATCGGAAGGGATACACGGCCGGAGATCCTCCCCTGGATGTAGTCCTGGACCCAAACGATCCACCTTTATCGGGATCCTGGCTGATGGATTCGGCCCCATTCTGCCCCAAATCTATTCCGTTTTATTGCCTTTCTGATACATAAATTTTTATTCAATTTGATTTGCCACCATTGCTATGGTAATACGGCGCGAAGAGATGCACACGCGTATTCCCTTTAGGCCGGTCTCACACGGAAATGTATCGCGATATGTGTGTGTGTGTATGTATTTGAAACATAGAAAATACCATTCGCAACGAAAACGTTTTTAGTTTATGTATATAACGGTGCGATAATGGTTGTACTTGTTTCTTGTAACTTTTCTAAAGAGATGATTTTTTTCAAAAATATATTTTAATATATTTATAAAGACCCGACGCAGATTCATTTGGAAGAACAGAAACATAAAGTTTCAAACAAAAGAGCTTTGTATCTTCGGGATTTTTTATAAACTGCTCGTCTGCATCGGGCTTAACAGCAAATGTACGTATATGCCTGTGTGTGAGCATCGTGCGAGCCTCGGTGTGTATTTTTGCAAAAACGAATGACAAAAGACTTCGGCGAAACGAACGCAGAACGAAAGACAGTCAACAAGCGATTCTGTGAAAGATCTCTGTCCCTGCATTTTATATTATTTTATTACATCGTTCCTTTCTTCAATTTTCTTTATTAAATTCTATTATTTAATTACTTATTTCACGATGTAACATTTATATCTGCTTTCTCGAAGAATCCACTTTCGCGTTTGATAAATGAAAATATTTCATTCAAAGATACTTTAATTTCTGAATGTACGTATGTTTCATACGTAAGTGTATCACGATATATAATTCGCGATACATACATACATATATGTATCTTCGTGTGAAATATTCCTTATTTTTCCGAACACTCTCTCTCTCTCTCTCTTTTTTATTTTCTGAGCTCTTTTCTCCTCGTAGATTTCCCTCTTCTGTCGAGTTCTTTCGTACAATCATTTTGAATCGTCATCATCGTTTTTTCTCGGTCTAGTACCCAGGCGCAGTACCAAGTTTAACGATTATTTGAAAAGTCGATTTTGGCTCTTTCTTTCTCCCTACGTTCCAGATGGGCGCCGAGGTCGTTAAAAGGGCTCTAAAGCAAATCGTCTGATTTCCAGATCACTCGAGAATAATTTTATGGTTTTTCGATGCACACGCTGTGTATTTAGAACTCGTAGCTTCGATTTCAAACATCGTTCAAATATTTTTGCACGATACACATGTACATGTATATGTATCAGACTGTTAGAAAATACGTAACGAAAGTTTACGTAAGAAATATTTAAGTAATTGCATTAAATGTAAATTTTTTACTGCTATAATTTCGTTGCGAAGAATTTTGTTGCGAAGAACTCGTCAAAATTTTCGATAATAAATTTCTTCATTTTAAAATGTTCATCGCTTTTGTTAATTACGAACTGACAACGACGAGAGAATATTGGAATAAATTTAAATTTAACGATTAGAATAACAGAATTAAAATAAAATATTTAGAATGTACATTACAATTTCTTTTTTTTTTTTTTTTATTGATAATTAATGAAGATCCAGCATCCACCAGACGAAAGATAAAGAATAGCAACCATAAATTCATCGGTGACCAATAGATTCATTTCCTCATTTAATTATTAATTACTAAAAATAGTTCGATTTAATCCTCACGATTGTGTGAGAGATGCAGAGGTATAAATAGCGTTGTCAGAGAATACTAAGAAGCTCGGCCAAGCAGCTTGTAATAAAATGTTAATTCTGTTACGGTGGAACGTTTTTCTTTCGTTGAAAATACATCCGCGCAATATTTTACGTTTCTTTCTAAGATCATCGTTAGTCTGCCCTGTTGAAAATCTCTTACAACTCCTCGTTCGAACTTTCAAGAAAAACCTTTCACGTCGCTCTTCAAGTTTTTACATCCCCCCCTCCCCTCCCCTCTCCCGCGATACTGTTGCTTTTTCAAATTACGAGAACTGAAATAACAGCATTTATTACCATACATTACCACCACCTCTCTGCTCTCTTTCTCTCTCTCTCAACGTTGTTTCAACTTTTCAACCTTTGAGCCTCGCGCGAGAGTGTTTTCCTGTCCCACAATTTCCCCTGTACGAACTATCGGCGCACACGACAATAAAACGATCCTTTCACTTTTGGCAATTAATCATTCGCCGCTCAGTTTCGCAACACCGTGTCAGTTTCCCAAAGTTCGAATAATGCGAGTGCTTTGTTTTTACGGCTCGCGGCGCGGTATCGAGTAGCAAGAGTTTTGCAATCGGTCGTCGGTGAACTTATTGCTGATAATATTGACTCGCGGCTGTTTGAACGCGAATATTGTTGTACTTTAACCCTTTCGCCGATGCTTGTAAAATCGAGGGGACACGTAGAAATTGTGCACGTGTTGCGCTTCGCAAAACGGGATTTCAATATTTTTGTATTTTTTTATCATTGGCATCTCTAGATATTTTGTACACGTACATTATATTACAGACTCGATCGATGCATGAAAAAGTATATAATTCTATTTAAAAACGTGGGGATAATCTAAGTCGAACAACGATATATCGTTCTTAATTACATTAATTTGTTCCTTCTGTTTCTTATTGTGTCTCCTTTTCGAATTTTGTAATTCGAAATAATTTTTTTTTTTTGCGAAATTTCTACACTTCTTATCAAACTGTATCAACTTCTGGTTAAAACGATGTAAAATCTCGGAAATGAAACAAATTTGGTAACCGACAGCAAGTTTCATTTCAAACATTTTTTCGAATAATGAATAATCGCGAGTAATTTTAAATAAAAATTAATCTCCCTCCCCCCCAGAAAAAAGAAAACAGATTACAGTCGAAGTACACCTGCTTATACCATCTGGCAAAAAAATAAAGGCAAAAAAATTTCGTCTGATCTTGTTACAATAATAAATGGTCAGTAAGGGAAGATCAGTTGCTTTCCATTCGTCTTAAATCGATATCGACAACTCTATCTAAAATTTATATTCATATTTCGAAACGAAAATCGTAAACTTCTCGATGGAAAAACGCCGTCACCCGCCTGCAGCGGTAATATTTGGAAGGCAGGAAGCAGGAGGACCTTCGCGATAGATCGAGTTTGGATGGCTGCCCGTGAAAATTCGTGACTGCCGCGGAAATTTCGGTCTCTCGATTTTCAGTAGACTCGCGTCGGTCGGTGTTTATCGGAGCTGGGCCGTTTCCCGTATGCGGCTCACGAAACAACCCTTACTTCTTGCTCCCCTGCGCAAGAACGCCAACCCTGACGCGCGTTGCACGTGACCTGCGAATAGCGATGGCGCCAATACCTTCGTAGACCGATACAATATCCTACGTGAAACGTATTTATTAATATCCGTGGC